TATATATAACTGTAGAGCCTGATGAAGAAGAGGTTATCGATAAGAGCACTCTTTGTTCTGTATCCATTCTTTTGAAAATCTTCAAAGTGTTAATTTCATTGTAAGGTTTCTGTCTTTTATCATGACTGTACATCATTTGCCAAATAAATGCCGGTGTGCGCCGGCCGGGGATCGAACCACGAACCTCATGAGGCGTGGCTGGCAAGCATTCTACCACTGTAACACCAACGCACAGTAAAGGGATGATAAGAAGACCTCCCCACTAGCAAAAACTACACGTCCGAGCGAGCCCGATTAGGGATCGTCGCAGGCTTCAGCACACCGAAGTGCAAAGGCGAGCCTCTACCTGGGGTCAGGGCATTCGTGATCACCCTGGTCTCGGTCTCGATATACTACTGATAAATCTTGTCAGTAGCACACGCAAAAGTATATTTAAACACTCCTGTTTTGAAGTAATATTTTGAATCATACCTAAATTTATACCTATGTTATCTGTAATTCATGGATGAAAGTAAATTTAAATGCATTAATGTAACTGTAGTATTAGTCAAAATCACTTCATTTCTATGATTTTTATCGGTGTATGCGATTGAAACTATCAATTAACTACAAAAAGTTTCGCTTTTCCAATAGGACTGCATTAGAGATATTGGAAGGTGAGTGGGTAGGCAAAGCATGACTCATCAAACCAGAACAAAGGCAAACAAAAATTAGCTGCTGTACGACCAATAGAGCTTATTGGAATAAAACGTCACGTGAACATTTCTTCCAATCAAGTGACAATATCCCCCACCCTTATGAAGCTGAATAAACAAAAGAATTGACATTGTTGAGTGGGGAAAACAGTCTAAGCACAGAGTTAATATCCAACTTGCAAATAAATCCACTGCATTGTTTAATATACAAGGGGTAGGAAGACGATAGAAATGACCTTGGCATGTGTATAGTTGACAGAAAAAAAAAAAACTACTAAAGTTAAAGTTGAACGCCCACGTCATTTTTGAGATGATTTATATTCGGAGCTGTCATTGTTCAAAAGTGTTTATAAAAGACTGAGTTTAAAAGCAGTTGTGCTGTACAACGACAGGAATCAACTAGCTCAAAGATAGTTAGGACATGTGTGTTATGTATGCTTAGCCATACAACACCTTCCTCGACGAGCAATCTTAGCTGAGTGACATAAGATCAGGTTGGAAAAGAATTAATTAATGGTGGTTAGACCAAAACATGGTTTCGTCAGTCAATGCAACCCACTGGCTTTCTGGTTAGCTGTTTGGAGTCCTTGGGATGATAAAAACCAATGGTGGCCGGAGACAATGGGTGATATGTCTCAAAATCCTCGTGCTCAATTCATAGCGCAGATGCATCCACATTTTGTGAGTGATTTGTCATGTCCAATAAAACTCTGTTGTTCTGACATATTACTATTCATTTTCCCTCATATTTCTGTTCATTGTCTCTCTCTGTGTTTTGAATCTGCCTTTACTCCCTTCATTTACTTTGTGTGGTATAAGGAAGGAGTGCGGTAACTCGAACCGCTGCACATCTGCACAAAGTTATGTGTTGAAACTACTCACTCACTCACTCACTCACTCACTCACTCACTCACTCACTCACTCACTCACTCACTCACTCACTCACTCACTCACTCACTCACTCACTCACTCACTCACTCACTCACTCACTCACTCACTCACTCACTCACTCACTCACTCACTCACTCACTCACTCACTCACTCACTCACTCACTCACTCACTCACTCACTCACTCACTCACTCACTCACTCACTCACTCACTCACTCACTCACTCACTCACTCACTCACTCACTCACTCACTCACTCACTCACTCACTCACTCACTCACTCACTCACTCACTCACTCACTCACTCAGTCTAGTCAGTGACTGCAAGCTCAGGCTCGACGAGGCTACAAAGTTACACAGATTGAGATGGCTAGGTTGGTCACGTGATGCACATGCCTAACCATCGCCTCCCCCGACGGGCATTACTAGCTGATATACGTGAAGGTTGGAAAAGAGTAAGTGGTGGCCAAACAAAAACATGGCCTCATCAATCCATGAAATCCTTGACAGTTAAACTGAGTCGGTCAGGTAGGGAGATGCAGACTTCCGGGTTGGGGCCCTCGGGACTCTAGGAATCAATCAATGGCTGGAGACAATAGGTGACATGGCTCAAACTCATCGTTGTCAATGGCCAGCGCACATGTATTCAGTCTCTGTAATCTTTCATATTCCTTTCTACCATTACCCATTCTGTTTCACTCTTATACTTGTCAGACTGTATTGATTCTCTTCACTCATCTTCTTGTCTACCTCTGTGTGGTATTTAGAACGTGGCAACTGGAACTGGTGCACTTCGGTGCCAAGTTCTGTGTTAAATCCAGGCAGACAAGCTCAGGCCTACAGTCATAAAACTGAATATTTGAGTATTGAACATCAGGCAAAAAGAATGAGTATCACTGGAGATCGAAACGTAAAAATAAACGTTGATTGAAGCGGGAAAGATTTCGAAGTACAAGGAAACGCTATAAGCTACTGAGAGATTGAAATTAATAGTTGCATACCAGTCATATCAACCAGCAGTGCTTCCTAGTCAGTTAAATCGAGGTCATCTAATGACCGGACAGCCATTTTGCTCGTCGTTTGGGGTCCAGTTCATCCGCGGTGTACCCGTTTGACTCAGTTTAGTAATGGGGCAGAATCAGTTCAAAGCACCCGATACTGGATAGCTGCCTGCTTATGTTCGCCAGCAGAGTGGTAAGCAGCTACTCATCTAAATCAATCAATCAATCAATCAGTAGTATGCATAGTTTTATGAAAATTTACTTTCTATCTTTCTTTCTTTACTGATTACCAGTTATGGCCGTATTAAGATCACGAAATGTGATCGGAATAACTTGATTTTCAAAGGACAACACCATGGTGAAATTCAGCCACTTTGAATTTGATGTTAGGAGCCATATTAATATGAAAGAAGGTTAAATGATTGTCAATTTATGCTAATTATCACCTCAGACTGATTGTATCAGATGACAGATGGATGTGTACAGTACGTGAGTAACCATGTGTAACAGGAATGCGAGATTCAATAGTAATTTTCAGTTTCCTCTAACGATAACCTTAGATGAACCAAACCTCGTTCATAGAAGGAATGTAGTTGCAGACACCCCAAACAGGAAGACAGAAACACATGTGTACTGTAGTGTTCACTTAAATGCATCTACATAAATAGGCACACAATACATTAAGTGTACCTAGAAAAAAGTACGACAGCAACCAAGATATATGACCGAAAATAAAAAGGGTTAAACAAACAAAAAAAGTATATCCATCATTGTAATCAATTGTCAATAATATCATCCCCGTTGGCCTAAATTATAAGCTGCGAGCAACTCACAATTACACCGTTCACGCCAATAGTCGATGACTGGATGCGTTGATACATAATCTTCACCTGATGATCAGCTTTAATCTTTCTTTCAAAACAATCCTATTTGCACTAAAAACAACATACGCTGGCGTATAGGGTCGACAGATACGCGGACTACAATGTCTGAAGCACTTATAGAAAAAAAATCAAATAAACACAATCATCTGACCTGATCAGTTTACGTCACCTAAACTAGAACTTTTTCGTAAGTTGGTCTAAACAGACACGCGTAATATGATTTTGATTTATCCTCAAAATTTAATAACACCATTTCGAGGTCATGTATTTGAATAAAGAGTTGATCAGTGGTTGAATGGTCAGCCAACCAGCTCGCCTTGTAATCTGAAAGATCTGAGTTCGATTCCAGGTGGGGTCACAGGTGTGTGCTGATGAAAAGTTCTAAACTACGATGAACACAACTGACCAGAACTACCCGGCTTCTAACGATTTTTTTTGTGTCTGAAATCAGTTGGAGATTAAACTTGAAATAGAAAATAATTTCGGTAAAATAATAATTAACTAATACTCTCTGAACAATAGATGGCTTTTACGGTTCTGTCTGTTTTCGACACAGAAGAACTTTGCATCAATGTCGACACACTCCATCCACATAGAACACAAAGCAACAGAAGAAAGTACAAGAAAAGCATAATAGAGACAGTGAGCAGAGGTGTGAGACAAACGAAGAGTAATAACGAAGAACAATATAGTTTCATTGGAAATCATAAGTCACAAGGTGTGGATGCATCCACGACAGCCATTGAGAACGATTTTGAGCCATATCACCAATTGTTTCCAACCATTGGCTTTTACCGTCCCGAGAACCCCAACCAGTCAGGAAGTCTACACCTTCCTACGTGGCTTAAACTAACTGTCGTAGATTTCATTGACTGGTGGAACCATGTTTTGGTTTGACCGCCGCTAGCTCTTTTCCAACCTGACTCTATGTCAGCTAACATTTCCCGTCGAGAAAGGCGATGACTAGGCATACGTAACATATGTGCTAACCATCTCAATCGATGTAACTTCACAGTCTCGCCGATTGGTTCCCCCCCCGCGGTACCTAGCACTCGACGCCTAACCTCTTATGTCTCAAGAACCCTATTGAATAACACTTTAGTACTTCACTGCAAACAATGAATGGGTGGTGGATTCGATCGAGTCTTAGTTGGAACACATCTATTTGTGAGCACAATTATCTTTTATGCTGAGCAGTTAGTAGTAGCGTTGTAATTCATAAGGCCAAATATAACTCAAGGCTATAGAGACGACAAGCAACCAAAATCAATAAACAGCACCAACAAGAAAGAAAGAAACGAAAAAAAATAGAAAAAATCAAGACAGTAACCACTCACGGCAACTTAAACATAAAAAAGTGAACTACAAAAAAAACTAGAGTAGAACGGTCATATGATTTGAGAGAGAGAGAGAGAAATAGAAAACCATTATTTCTTTGTGTTTTCTCTTTAATTCATTGTTATAAGAAAGTGATAAATATAGAATATAAGGACATTAAATACAATATAATAATATATGATGCACAACTCACCTAACAGCTGTTTTCAGCACATCATCTGGTGTACTATTACTAGAATTGTTACTTATATTACTACTATTATTATTAATATTATGACTATCATTGACACCATAGTTATTATGATGATGATCATTGGCAATGATGATATTATTATTGAGGTTGTTTTTTAAACTTTTAAACCAAGAATATTCTGTGTTAGCATGAGTATCACCATGCGTTGCATTCGATGATGCCATTGAAGACTGTTGTTGCTGTTGTCGTTCGTCTTCTTGTTGTTGCTGTTGTTGTTGTTGTGCAGCATTAAACCATCTAGCACTTGTCTCAGCGCTTAGAATAATAATCTCCATAAATTGATTTAAGATAATTGGTAAAAATTGGACTAAAGCAGTTGGCGTAATCAAGAGCAAGGCTTTCATTGCATTGCATAAGTGTAGATTTATTGATGGTGTATTTTGCAGGATACTCGAGTTATTGACGGTATGTTTCGGTCTTGTCGATACCGGTGATGAATGCAACGGAGAAACTGTTGATGATAGTTGTTGAACAGAATTAGAATTTGATGGTATTACGACATCATAACTGAAGGTGACACGATTTTGCTACATGATAATGATAAAAGTTGAAGGAAGATAATTAAATAGAAGACAGGGGGTAGGTACATGTTAGGTAACAATGGGAACAGATCAATATATATATATATATATATATATATAATATTAAGACAAATTGTTAAGATCAAATTAGGCTCTGTGATGTAGTGTACTTACAATTACTATGATTATGAACAATAAATTGTGTTAGAAACCTCGTCATCCAGTAAATATTACTGTTGCATTGTACATTGATTGATCAAAAGACTAACAACCAGTGAGGTTCAACCAGTCAAGTGTGAGGATAGATTTCCCACCGATGATATTGGTCGGTGGTCGCTCTAAATCACGAATTGAAAGAAGCTACAATTTATGGGTTGGGCATTGAATCGGGTCCCAGTGGCTTCTGAATGCTATGTTAGCTAGCTTGCCTTGTAACCGGAAGGTCCTGGTTTCAAACCCTGGCAGAGGGTGCTTACTGTTGATAATTCCCAAACTAGGATGAAACAGTTGTCCGGTACTCCTGGCAGGTTTTCCAATGGTTCTGTAACAGATATTAATCCGAGGTCAAACTTGTAAAAACAAATTTAATCCATACATATTAACTCTTGAATTATACCAGTCAAGTTTGTAATGTGTTCATCAACAAGATAAGTGACTCTCCATCATGGAGCATTGAATTCCTTAAAGATTGTAGATACATCTTGCTGACGAATGTCAATAAACACGGAATCCAGGTTCAGGGATTCTTACCGATCACCTCCAACCATCTAATACTGTTTCACTGGGATATATCCAAAAAACAAATTAATACAGTAGGACCAAAGACTGTTTCTTATGACGTAAATCTAGAAACGGATATTCTTATTGGTTGGTGGTCGTACTAACAATCACAAATTGGGCTGACCATTGAGTTAGGTCTCAAGTGTGACTGAATGGTCTACGATCTTGCCCTGTAACCGAAACGTGCTGGGTTCAAAACCCGATGGAAGTGAACTACCGATCAGTCCCAAACTAGGCCGATGAAACAGTTGGCTGTCCAGTACTCCCTCTGGCGTTACTAGTGGGCTATTTGGGCTCGTGATTGATCTCCTGTAGGATTGTAGTGGGTATCTTGGGAGCTATACTCTACCACAGTGCACAAGTTTAATCCTCATTTTGATGTGGTTGTGTTCTCTCAGATGGATAGTTAATTTGTGAAGCTTTCATTGCCCTACTTGGCGACATCTTTAGTGCATACTTCAATTTGTTGAAGTGAGCTTTTAGATTTCTCCACAAGTTTATTAATCATCTCTCCTGTGTGTTTTCACACACACACACACCTTCTAGGTTACTTGTATTGGAACTGATTGTTTCTTTGACTTGAATTTTGACCTTTTGTGTGTAAGGTTTCTTTCTTACGGGTTGATAAATTTTGTCTATCTCTATGTGTCTATTGATTTCCGATTCACCTGAATATCAGGCTTCTAGAAATTCTCTAGCATTCTTGTTGTTTCCTCTGTCTAATATTTGAACGTCAGTTGTCCCAGTCGAATTGATGTCCGTGGTTGTCTGTGTGTAGTGATATGAGCGAGGGAGTGGATATCATGTCTTTTGACGGCTAGCTTATGTTCGTGGATACGAAGACGAAGGGGACGTCCACTTTGGCCAATGTAGTGAGTTCCAGATCGCCTTGTAACCAGAAGGTCCTGGGTTCGAACCTCGGTGGGTCAGTACTGATGAAGAGTCGCAAACTAGGATGAAACAGCTGTCCAGTACTCCCAGGTCTTCCAATGATTCTCTGACCGATGCCAGCTCATGATGAAATCTTGTAACCAATCAAATCCCTACAAACCAACATTTGAATAGTTTTTTAATTAAAACAAAATGAACAATAACCGAAAAGATGACTACACACACACACTCACACACACCTTCTGTTTATTGATATTTGACACTTTTGAAGGTGACATATATAATACTTTTGGCAGAAGATCACCACAAACACGAAAGAATTTTGACAATACTGGATCATGAGTGTAGATTGAAGATAACGGTTTCAAATCAACTTTAAACAAAAACTTCCCATTGTCTATCCAGGTTAAATCAACTGAATTATTATTATGATTATTATTAGCATTGGTGTTACTGGAACCATTGACGTTGAATGATAAAGCGTTGACTGACACATTTTGACTATTTGAACTTCGAGTGTTCTGCTCATGAAGAATAAGAAGAAAAGTGGAAAATGATACAATTATTCTATGATAGTACCATTTGTGAGTATCCTAACATTGCTATCCTTTGACGAAAAGCAACAAGATTGATTTCGTTACAAACGGAAATTATCTGGTAATATTTCGGCTTAGTAATAACAATTAGTTAGAGTTCCAGAGATTCAGTCACAGACAGTCACACTACGCAGATACGTTACTGCCACAAAGGTAACGGTAGACACCACAGACTACTAATGAGATAGGCAAGCATTACGAATGAATGCATTTTATAATTTTCGTTGTGAATTCATCCTAAATCAGGGTTAAGGTAAGAGTAGAACCAAGGTAGGGTTGTGAATAAGGTGAGAATGAAATTTGAAAAGACAATTATGAAAATTCTGTATTAGTTTGTTTATTAGCTGTATCACATGGTGGTGAAACAGTATTATTATTTACTGGACATTGACGTTTCGAACAAAATTTATTATTGTTCATAATCATATCAACTGTATTCACACGATTTTGGAACTTGAGTTTTACAGTTTTCCTTGTCTTCTATTTGTCGTAAGGGTAGTAGAATTTTCCAATATCTGGACGGACAGGTGTTGAATCATTACTATTACACGTATTTACAGTTGGTTCGATAGAGGGAGCTTATGTTATCGATCTTTCCTTCGACCCTGTGACATAAGATTTTAAAACTGTCATCTTATCCCGTCCATCCTATTGTATGGTTGTGTGTAATTGCATGTAGTGAGTGCTATGTACAACCGAACTATTGTCTAGATTTCTTATCTTATTTGGGTCAACCAATCTAGATTTTGCTTCTAGGTTTCTGTGTTCGGGTAGTCTGACTGTCCCTGTTCTACTAGTTTGACGTGACAATCATCACAGGCAGGGTATTCGATGAACTAAATTGTTTCGTTATAAAGGCTCCACAGGATTGATCCTTTAACCGACAAAGCTTTTTTCTAATTGAGTTTGTAGTTTTGAATACCGGCCACTTTTATTCCTTCCTTGTTAAGAATTCTGCGTGAGGTTTCCGAGGTTCCTTCCTTGTATGGAATTACTACTGATGATTTAGATTCATGATTGCTGATGTTGTCTTGCGCATATTTGACATGCATGTCGTCGTTAATATTACGATTATTATTATTATCACTATCGAAACTATCATTATTTATTTTATTTTTACATTTCTTTGCATATTTCCTGACTAATTTATCCGGATAATTATTATGTTTCAAGGCTTCTTTTATGTGTATCACTTCCTGTCTTAGATTTTCCTTGGTTCTACTTAGCCTTTGTGCCCTGTCACTTGAACATTTCACCAATCCTATTTTCACTGACATAGGATGAGATGATCTGAAGTCCAAGTATCTGTTTGAATATGTGGGTTTTCTGTAAACACTAGTGTTTAACTTCCCATCTTCTTTCCTTTTTACTTTGCAATCTAACATTGGAAGTTTCCCTTCCTTACTTTCCAATTCATAAGTGAATTGAATTGCCTCCACCTACGAGTTGATGTGTTCGAAATATCTATCTGTAACATGTGTTCTAAGTACAGCGAATGTGTCATCTACATACCTCCACCATACTTTTGGGGTGGAGGTGAACGTTTCAATCGCTATGCTTTCCCACCTATCCATGAATATATCTGCTACAACCGGGGATAATAGTGATCCCATGGCAACTCCCTCAGTTTGTTTGTATATTTTCCCTTGGAATTCAAATACTGTGGAAGTTAGGCATAGCTGCACTCTCAGTATTATGTGCTCAAGTGGCACTTCTGTCCTAAGTTCGAGTTTTAGGTCAGAAATGAGGACGTCATCCAGTAAATAATAATACTGTTTCATTGTGTGATATATCTAACATACAAACTAATATGGAATTACTTACTATCACAGTACCCAAGTTTTACACATATATTAATACGATTATGAAAAGCCTACATTTTTAATGCTGAGCGACCTGATTAATTCATTCAAAGTCAATTGACTGTAATGTCTATTCATTACTATTGCCCAGCGAAACTACTGTGTTGGACGCCAAAAGACCATTAATTTAGACTAAAAATAATAAACAGCATATCACTGATTGACCAGTGATAGCATAGAACTTGGCACACATGTGCAGCAGTTCAACTTGCCACACAAACCAACCGTAGAGGGTAAAATGAGGTTCAAAAAAGAGATAATAAACATAAGTGTGAGTTAGGGGAAACGAATACTCATATATATATATATAAGAACTATAAAGTTTTCTTGGATATGACTAATCACAAAGAGTGAATACATCTGCGCTATTCATTGAGAAAAAGGATTTCGAATCATATTAACGATTGTCTCCAGTTACCACTGGTTTTTACCATCTCAAGGACACAAAACTGCCAGGAAGCCAGTATAAACCTCCCTAAATGGCTGGGTTAAACTAACTGTTGTGCATTTGAATAAGGCATTAAGAAGACAAATTTCGCGAGATGATATCATTTCGTAGTTTCTTTACAACCGCTTTACAACTAACATGGTTAACAATGTTGTGCATTTGATTGACCGATGAAACCATGTTTTGGTTTGACCACCACTAGTTAACTCTATTCCAACCTGATCCACCCCGATATCAGTCAGATAAGGTTGGCCATTGAGGTAGGCGATAGATGGCTAAGCATGCGCGACACATGTTCTAACCATCTCAATTGATATAACTGCTTCACGACCTCCTCGATTGCTTTCCCCTGTCAACCGAACACTCGACGCCTAATCTCAATATTGCCCATCCTATTAAACCTACGATCTAACCCCGGGAGATGAAACGCAGACACACAGGATCAAAGACAGCTAGCCAGTTGGACTTTTCATGTCTCCCATTTCCAATCACCATATCTAACCGACAGAGTCAAAAGGAGGACGAAGTTGACTGATGAATAGTACACACACCCTTTAGTCGAAAGCCAACATGATATCATGTCTTCGCGAGAGATGGTGTAAGTTATCAAATGCTGAACGAGCCTTCTGCATCCTTGCAAAGATTTCGTTAAGGATCGACTCGCTGGGGCTGGCTGGCTGATGCCACTTCATAAATAAATGAAGTGGTCAATACACACTACCAATTGATTCTGGTACACGGACATTCCTAAGCATATGTATTCTGAAGAAATCAATGCGGTTAATTGACAAATGTCATAGAGTGTGCTATACGCTTCTGAGAAACTCATCAACTTAAATAACAAAGTTAAAAAAAGAAATCAATTAAGCAACAACAACCAAAAAAAAATAGTTCCAATTATCGACATGACCATAAAATGTAAACAGTTCAATTTTTCTTGCATGTAAAAATAAATACAGATGAGAGTAAATGAGCACGAAGTAAAATATATAACTCAGAGACTGATTAAATCAATGGAGAATTTCATAAAGGCAGGCATATTATACAACCAACTGACTTGTCAGATTTCCAAAAAAAATAAAAAAGCAAACAAAATAAAAGAACCTAAATGTTGTATTCGAAATCGATGCAGATGATGATGATGAGAAGTTTGTACATGTGCGTGGCGTGTGACGAGGACGCTGATAAAATAAAAGCAGAATCTTCTGAACACCTTGAGCTGCAATCTACGAATGTTTAGCATGTGATTTTCTCCTGATGTCAAATGTAAGATGATGTTACAGGACTGGACTGGACTGGACTACACTGACTCCTAGTTTAGAAATAGGGAGTGAAGTGGTAGAGCACGTTGACCACTTCACTTATTTGTGAAATACCATCAGCCAACGCCAACGGGTTGATCTCTGACGAAATCTCCGAACGGATACAGAGAGGTAGTTTTGCATATGCAGTTTACACCGTCTCTGGTTTAGTGGACGTGATATCCGGCTGGGTATTGACCAAAGGGCCAGTGTACTCCTCAGGAGTCCGCTCCGTCCTCCTTTATGGCTGTCAGTGAGACATGGCCATTAAGAGTGGAAGATATGAAAAGATTAGCTGTCTTCGATCATAGCTGCCTGCGTTCTATCACCCGTGTGAAGTGGCATAATGAACTAAGCGATATTGAGGTTAGGTGCCGAGTTCTAGGTAAGGAAGGGAAATCAATCGACGAAGTTGTGAAGTTACATCGACTAAGATGGTTAGGACATGTGTTACATATGCCTAGTCACCGCCTTCCTCGACGGGAAATGTTAGCTGATATAGGGTCAGGCTGGAAAAGAGCCAGCTAGTGGCGGTCAAACCAAAGTATGGCCTCACCAGCCACTGAAATCCACAACAGTTAGTTTAAGCCAGCCATGTAGGAAGGTGTACACTTCTTGATTGGTTGGGGTCCTCGGGACGGTAAACACCAATGGTGGGCTGGAAACAATTGGTGATATGGCTCAAAATCGTTCTAAATGGCTGGCCCAGATGCATCCACTCCTTGTGACTTATAATTTCCAATGAAACTACATTGTTCTTCGCTATTATTATTCCTTTGTCTCACACCTCTGTTTACTGTCACTATAATGCATTTCTTCTACCTTCTTCTATTGCTTTGTATGCTACAAGGAGGGAGTGTGGCGACTTGAACTGGTGCACATCGGTGCAAAGTTCAATGTCGAAAACCGACAGACAGACATGTGCGTCAACGACAAAGGTTTTGACAAAAGTAGCAATAAGAGTCTGTGAACATCAACTTTAATAAACAGAAGACCAGTAGTTCAGCGAAGAGTCTTTCCGGCGGTGAATTCATTTTCATAGCTGTACAATTGCAAATATATATATGGTTGTTTTGAATGTGTGTGTATATTAGATTTTTCAAACGAAAAAATACAAAATTCACTCTTGAAGCTGAAAACTAATCTAAAATTCCTTTTCTTGATGTTGAACTGACAAGTAAAGCCGATGGAAGTTTAAGAAGATCCATCCATAGGAAACCCACATGGAACGGCCAACTGACAAGCCTCTACAGCTGGATACCACTCAGTCGAAAAAGAAACCTAATTAGATCTCATGCTACTCACGTCTGACACAACTGCAGCTACCCTGGGAGAAGAACTACACTTCCTGAAAGAAACCTTCATACAAAACGGTTATCTATGAAGATTCGTAGACAAAAACACCAAACAGAAAATCCAAAAGCAAGAGACACCATCCATGCCAAAAAAGATACTTTATATGAACCTCGACTTCAAAGGTGAGCTACACAGTGATGTCCTTAGGAGGAGAATTTCCACATCTTTAAGAAGAACTTTCTTCTCGGCAACACTCAGAATAGTGTTCTCCAGTCACCCACTGATCTGCAGAACCCCAAACGACAAGATCCCTCACCTGACCACTTCTATGTGTATATATTAGTTCACCTGTTGTTGCTGTGGAGCCAAGTACATCGGTCGTTCAATGGTCATCCTGTCAAAAAGGCTAAAACTACCCTACCCAAAATGGCTGCAGAAAGGAAGTATTGGCCGTATAGGAAGTGCAATAATCTAACATCTTGTCAACATTGGTTATTCCATCTCAACAAACGCCTACTGCTCCAAAGTAATCTACAAAGTGAAGAATAACCTTCCAAAGACCATACGTTTCCGTGTTCTCTGCATCGCAGAAGCCCTAGCCATTAAGTTGGAGGAACCAGAAATATACATACAAAAGAAAATTATTCAACCACTTCTACTCTCATGGTAACAACTCCGTTGATTTGACTTAACTTTTGTTTGTATGCTTAAAACTCCTGAGTAATACCGTATGTTATTTTGTTTCCATGTACACCCTGAGAACAACTCTTTCATCAAACTATTCACGTTATTACGTAACTCTTATTTAACAATCATTTGTGCTAACTCATCACTTTTGTTATTATCCTCTTATATCAACATCTACGTCACCTGAACTTATTAATTGTATTTTCGTATGACAAATTTAATGTACACACACATACAAAACAACTACATGTATATTTGCGATTGTACAGCTATGCTAAAATGAATTCACCGCCGAAAAGAGACTCTTCGCTGAACTACTGGTGTCTTCTGTCTATTAATGTTCGAATGGGAATTTTTCATGAACATCAACTCTGACGATTATACGGCAGGAATACAGTAACAATGTAAAAGAGTCTACTACTTAATACATTCATTGTTTGATTGCATGGAGGATTTAATCGTGAGCTGACATCAGTTAGAGAACCACTGGAAAACCTGGGAGTACTAGACAGCTGTTTCGTCCTAGTTTGGGACTCTTCATCAGTACGCACCTGCCGGGATTCGAACCCAGGACCTTCTGGTTACAAGGCGAGCTCGTAGACCATTGAGCCACTGGGACCCGATCCAAACTAGGACGAAACAGCTGTCCAGTACTCCCAGGTTTTCCAGTGGTTCTCTAACTGATGTCAGCTCATGATTAAATCCTCCATGCAATCAAACAAAATCCCTACAAAACTAATACTTGAACATTCATTGTTTATTAACAATAGTCGTATTTATTAAAGTGAGCAGTAATCTTCAAATGTTTGACATATGATTTGCTCTTGTTAGGTACTAAATAATGCTACACGATTGGACTACATCAACTAACTCCTAGCTGAAAAACAGACAAGAGTGAAGTGGTAGAGTGTGTTAGCTATTTCATTTATTTGTCAAGTTGCATCAGTCAACGCCAGAGGGTTAATCCTCGACGAAATCTCAGCAAGGATGCAGAAGGCTAGCTTGGCACTTGACAACTTACTCCATCTCTCCCGTAGGCACGATATATATATATTGGTGGCTATAGACCAAAGACAAGTGTTCTACGCATCAGTCCGCTCCGTCCTCCTCCTTCATGACTGTTAGTAAGGCATTGATCATTGAAGAAAGTGGAAGACATGAAAAGCCCGACTGGTTAGCTATCTTTTTTTTGTCGATCGCTGACAACCATGTAATACAGTCACTTTTCTTCAGACTAATAAAGCCAGCAAATCACATATTCACTAAATCAAAAGCATCTACAGTAGTTTGGTTAAAACAAACCTCAAGTCGACCATCTGGTTTCTTATAGAAATCATTATTAGCTCAACTTGATTGGATACTTCAAATTCTCTTATTTTGATGATGTCATGAAACAGTTTTGTCTCCATTTTTTTTTCTGTAAATTAGAATTTGTGCTGAATGATGTACAGTTTTAAAAAGTGATAATTTACTGGAACTAAATACAATTAGCTTCTCTCAATAAGAAAAAAAAGAGGCCAACAGAACAGTTGTAGGTGTTGGGTGTAGTGATGCATTTTTTCTAAAGATACCAAACATGTTCAAACTTAATCTGGGAGAAAGTTGACAAAAGTCTAATGTTGTATTGTATTTAAAACAAACTTTTTATCTAAAGAATCTAAGTGTGAAAAAAAGAACCAAATAAATTTAAGTTATCTATGTATGAGTCGTTTTCAAACAAATATTTCACTCAGCTTCACTTAAGAAAGTGACTGACTGGTTTCAACATAGAACTAGTTTGTACACATGTGAACCAGTTCAACTCGCCACACCCCTTCCACATAGAACATAAAGCAAAGAAAGATAATAAACACAAAAGTGGAGGAAAGAACAATATAGTTTTATAATAGAAAAGATTTGTAACTCAGGTGGATGATTTGGAATTGATAGTGTTCTCTGAGCTCCTTGGTTTAATTGCGGAGCTTTCATCGTCTTTCTGGACGACATCTTCAGCGCAGTATTTAGGATAAAGTGAAATGATTTAAATTTCTTCATGAAATATACCAACTAATAAGAAGTAAATCAGGTGATCAGAAAGTTTAAAATCCCAATCAATAGAAAACGGTCAATAAATATCTAAAGATGGTTACCGGGAGACTCATGAAGAAATTTAAATCATTTCACTTTATCCTAAATACTGCGCTGAAGATGTCGTCCAGAAAGACGATGAAAGCTCCGCAATTAAACCAAGGAGCTCAGAGAACACTATCAATTCCAAATATAGTTTTATTGAATATTATAAGTCACAAGGAGTGGATGTATTTGTGTTATTCATTAAGAAATACGATTTTGAGCCATATCATCAATTGTCTCTAGGCTTCATTGCTTCTTACCATCACAAAGACCACAACCAGCCAACCAGCCAGCCAGCCAGTGAGGAAGCCAGTCTACACCTTCCTGCATACCTGGCTTAAACTAACTTTTTTTGAATTTAGTTGACCAATGAAGCCGTGTTTTAGTTTGACCACCATCGGGCTTTTTTCCAATCGGATCCAATGTCAGTCAGCTGAGATTGCTTGTTCAGTAAGGCGACAGCTAGGCGCATACATAACACATGTCTTAACTGTCTAAATCAATGTCACTGCACAGTCTCGTCGATTGATTTCGCATCCTTAGCAAGCACTCAACCGAAGCCTCTAACCTAAATATTGCTCATCCAATTATACCACTTAAGAAAGTGAATACTGTTCACAAATTCTGCTTCTGGTAATTACAACAACACAAAAAATAATTAGGAATCTAAGCTGAGCGACAGAGATACATGTGAAAATAAATATTTACAGCTGAAACCAGTTACTCTACTTTACGGGTATAAGAAGGATGTATGTTAGAAAAAGTTAGATCGTGATAAAGCAACACAACCAGTCAGTTATATAAGCAACAGTATTCAAGGTGTAAATAAGGCAGGATGAACAGAATACAGTGACGTAATGTATGCTTTGAACCGTTAGGCAGCAGTAGTAGCATAATTAACTCTGGTTACACCTAAAATAGTCAGTGGCACTGAGGTAGGATTCCCACCAGCCACTCACTCATGCAGTCCAGGGTTCAATCCCTGGGGCTACAGACACTCTCAAACTTCACTTTAAACTGGTACTAAGCCAAGAAAAGAAGGAAGGTTGGGCGTGAGACTAGCAATTCCACCCTGTGTAAAAATAAACACCACACTGCTACCGAAACTTGAAAGCTCTCTAGCTTGAAGCCTTATGCTCCACTGTCTGTCTGTTTCGACATAGAACTTTGCACCGATGTGCACCAGTTCAAGTCGCCACACTCCGTGTAGCACGCGAAGTGAGAGAAGAAAGTACAAGAAAAGCATAATGGAGAAAGTAAGCAGAGGTGTGAGACAAAGGAGTAATAAAGAAAAACAAAACAGTTTCATTGGAGATCATAAGTCACAAGAAGTGGATGCATCTGCGGCACTGAGAACGATTTTGAGCCATGTCACCAATTGTTTCCAGCCCACCATTGGTGTTTACCGTCCCGAAGACCCCAGCCTGGTAGTCTACACCTTCCTACGTGACTGTTTTAGACCAACTGTTGTGGATTTCATTGACTGGTGAGGCCAAGTTTTTGTTTGACCGCCGCTAGCTTTTTTCCAGTCTGACCCTATATCCGCTAACATTGCCCATTGTCGAGGGAGGCGATGACTTGGCATATGCTCCACTGGAAACGCAAAACAATAAAGACTGAGAAAAAAAACCCACCTAAAATAAACATAAATACTAAGTACCCAATATATGAAATTGGAAAAACAATAACTTTTTTCTGAAAAAGGGAAAAAACATTTACTTGTACAGTTGAATGCTTTAAATAACCCGGTTGAATAGTTGATGTTACACGAAGTTGGAATGTACCAACATTTAAACTGAAAGAAATATATGCAAAAAAAGAAAATAATAATGATGATTAGTATACATACACAAATACATTATAAGCTTTAGAAAAATGTAAGAAAGAAAGAACACAGGCACTCCTCAAAAAGATTACACAATAACCACCTGACGTAATCGATAAACATTAGAGATTACACAGACGAGTCAAACTGATCACAATTTAATATTTGAAGTTAACGCTACAAAAAGTTATTTATTGATTTATTATTTTATTCCTTTACTTTCCCGGTGTGTGTGTGTACGTGGCACAGCTGTAGAGTGCTCGCCGACCACGCAGGTGGTCCGGGGTTCAATCCCCAGACACAGACACACTCCTTCCTTAGGCTAGTAGTAGTAGTAAGACTGGTAAAGAGAGAAGGTTGGACATGAGGCTAGAAACCCCATCCTGTAAAAACAATCACCACGGCTACAGAAACTTCCAGACTCTAGCCTGAAGCCCTATCTTCCACTGGGAACGTAAAGAAAAAAAAGAATACCCAAAGAAGACCCTTTTTCTTCGTCTTCTTCGGGGATAAAGAATGTGCACCTTCCCAGTAGGACATAGAGAGTTCCAAGCTAGAGAGATTTGGAGTTTCGGTAGCATAGTGGTGTTTATTTTTTTTTTAACGGGATGGGATTGGTAGCCTCATGGCCAGCCCAGACTAGCTTCTTTACCAGTCGTCTTATTACCGGTTTAGTGAGGTAAAGGAAGAAGTGCGTCTGTGGCCAAACCACCTGTGTATCTGGCGAGCATTCTACAGCTATGCTATCGACGCAGACAAAAGGTATTAAGAAGAATTTTGCTTAAAGGATAAGCTTTTATCAATGATAAACACAGCAAGTAAACATCTATATTATTACAGTGAGTACTAAACAATTTGAATAAATTCACAGAAAATACCCTACAAAACATGAATATAAGAACAAAATAGTTCAGTGAAAAGTCTCCTATCGGTGGTGGCGAATTCATTCACACTTAGTTGCACAATCGCATTCATATATTATTATCCTGTGTGTGTGTGTGTGTAGTACATTAGGACTGCCAAACAGAGATAAAAATTTGTTGGAGTTATTGTTTATACCCTTGGGTATATTTCCAAGTTCTGCTCCTTTGTTAATAAGGCCTTTTTTGATTGTTTGTATGACATTTTAGTAACATCTTTTTCTTAACTAACTCTTTATTTACCCTTTTTACCGGTTGCATAATTTATTCTTTGGACAAGTGTCTCAATGCGCTTTGAATAACATCCCATTTTTTTCTGGGTGTATTTTGTAATGTGCAACCTTCGTCAATACTGGACAATCTTCAGCCCCACCCCCTCAGTTACAGTTTGATTATTTATCACAATTTTGAAACATTTTGATCATGTAAACATTAACTCTAACTAATTTTTTAAAATTTTTATTTGACAATCCTAATGTACACATATATACACACACACACACATATACACACACAAAATATAATCATAAATATAAATGCGATTGTACAGCTACGTGTGAATGAATTCCCCGGTGAAAACAGACTCTTCACAGAAACTTTTCGTTCTTAAATTCGAATAAAAACATAATTTGTTATTCACCAACAGCCAACATCATCACCATTTGTCACAACTTCATTCGTCAATTTATTATTTTTTTTAAAAATTTTATTCGTACACCTTCCAGGTGGAACATAGGCCTTTAAGTTAGGGAGCTTTGAAGTTTCGTTAGCAGGAGGTTTCTTCTTTTTTTGATTTTTACTACCGACCAGCCTTACTACTGGCGGCCTAGCGAGGTTTAAGAGTGCATTTGTGGTCAGAGGTTCTGTTATCAATCTCTCCGTCCATTCTGTGACATTAGATTTCAAAACTGTCATCTTTTCCTATCCATCCTATTGTACGGTTGTGTGTAAATACAAGTAGTGAGCGCTATAGCTGAACTATTCTTTAGATTTCTTATCTTATTCGGGTGAACTAATCTAGATTTTGCTAGGTTTTTATGCTTAGCCAGTCTGACTGCCCTTGTTCTAGGATTTATTATGCTATGAAACTTGTTTTCTTTAACACCACCAAGAGAGTGGTTCAACAATCTGGAAAAGACCAGTCGCCAATCCACAACACTTCAAACTGCATATATCAATTTGAGTGTGTTTGTGGAAGCAAATACATTGGTCGTACAGAAAGGCGATTATCTACTCGCATGATGGAGTATTTGCCGAAATGGTTGGAAACAGCTGAATGCAAAAAGCTAAAAGCCTCAATAACAAAACATCTTGTGGACTACGGACATGATATCAACTCTGTCAAGTCATTCACTATTGTCAACAGACAAAGAAACAAGAAGATGCTTGCAACTGAAGAGGCCTGTGCAATTCGAGTTTATAAACCAGGTCTCTGTGTACAAAAGCAGATGGTCGTGACTCTGAATCTACCATGGTAATACGTTTTACTTATTATTCTACTGCTTATTGTTATTACTCTTGATTCAACTAAAACTATCCTTTATCAGTAGGATTATCTTGACTCACTTCAACACTTATTATATTATTAGTGTTATTATAACTGTTACTATTGATACTACTCTGTTTGCAATTCTCGCTATATTCTCTAATGACTGTTTATCTAAGTGATGTAATTGAAGCGTAATGCAATTTATCTTAATTTTAATCTCTCCCATACTCCCTCTCCCCTTATCTAATTGAACATGACCTGGAAAACATTCTCACCTGTCTTTCTGCATGACTAATCCAATGTAGTTTGTTTACTTATCAGTCTTATATCTCCCAATGTAATTTCAAAAGTATTTATATATTCGTGTATGCAGAGTATTCAGCTGAAGAGTTGTACCGAAATTTGATGGATTCATTATATCACCCTGCTTTATTAACCTTTGTTGCTTGTTTTGAATTCGTATCGGAAAATAAATGTTTTCAATCATTATTCTCTTTTGAGCACATCGATGTTCACTACAGTTTATTACCATGAAGTTTTTGTTCGAGAAGTGCGAAGTCGCGGCCAGTAAGGTGTGCAGCAGGTCGGGTGTGGGGACAAAAACTTGCCGAAGATATTCGCTACGGGTCACGTTATGTCATGAATTGGCAGAAATTAGAATTCATGGGCTGACCATTGTATCGCGTCCCAGTGGCTTAATGGTCTGTTAGCCCGCTAGCCTTGTAACCAGAAGGTCCTGGGTTCGAACCCCCGTGGGTGCGTACTGCTGTGGAAGAGTCCCAAACCAGGACGAAACAGTTGCCCAGTACTCCCAGGTTTTCCAACAGTTCTCTAACCAATGTCAGCTCATAATCAAACCCGGTAAACACACGATATTGTTGTTTTTACTGACTAATCGGTATTTAATGCTACTGATAGCTTTATCAAAGTAGCATTATTAAACCAGAATTTACAGAAAATATCAACCTATACACGGCAGCTTAACCGTTGTTTTTCAACATAAGGTAGTTTTTATGTTATTGACAAGTTGGCCAATTACGTAAAGATAACAAAACCAAGTGTGGATTGTTTAATTTTATAAGCGTACAAAATTATAAATGAAGTCTATGTGTTTACATAATGAAATTGCTTATCATATTCGTGTTAATTTTGTCAACTCATGTGTGTGTTGTGTCCTGTAACCAGGTGAAATTCTGTTTAAGTCGACCATACGTATTCAGACAATTCGGATTCCATTTGATCATATGAAGCGCTCCTGATGATATTAGATATTCTTTGTGATTTCTGAAATTTTTCTAAAATTATGATTTCAATATAGCGTAGCGTGTGGACGACCTAGGCTGATGATTTTTCAAACTTTTCTAGTTCCGCTGAATTTCTTGGTGGTCGAATAGAGGTGGCTCTACGGTGTTTATTTCTTTCGATCTAGATTTCTCACGATGTTTGTCCTATATATAGCGTATCACATTCCAAGCATTTTATTTTGTCAATGCAATCAAATTGAGAATCCTTAAAGATTTCTAGTCTTTCACATAGACAAGGTTGATATGTGATGTGTGTCGGCATAAGTTTTCGACCATATTCAATGTCGGTATTGATTTTGTTAATACAGTTTTTTGGGTAGTTATTTTTCTTGAGAATTTTTCAGTAGTGTGGTGATATCTCTTCTGTGCTATATAAACTGCAGCAACTTGAACTGACACATTTCTGTGTTCAGTTGTACATTGAAACTCTATAAGTCAAGCAAATTTAGAAAATAAACAAAAACACACCTACACATCGGAGGAAAGTGATATTCACTATTATTATTAGATTTCAATCAGTCAGTGAACCAAGCACCAAGTACATGGCATTGATCACCCCCCTTTCATTTAAACAAGAACCAACCTGTTAGAAATTGGCATATTCCAACGAGAATGAGAGATTAGTGAAACAAAGTTATTTTTCTCTTTACTAAGGAGGAGGGGTTACCAAAGTAATAATAGAGAACAAGAATGCAATAAACTTCAACTTTTCTATTTGTGAACTGGTCGAAATTCTTCTGTATAACTTTACAAATGTGAAAAAAAAGAAATGCAGTCTAGTTCCTCTGAAACTTCTTCGTTCTTATCCATCCCTCGTGAAACAAAAGCCTTCAAACTTGAGCGAATAAGTTTCACAGTAACAAGTGTTGTTAGCCTTACACGCCTAACCTTCCATCTTTAAACGGCTAAAACGGGCGAAAGTGTGCGCACCGGCCAAGAATTGAATCCTTGACCACATGCATAGTTGGTGAGCATTCCCTTATCGCTGAAACACCGATACAACTATTGGATTTAATGGTCTGCGAGCTAGCTCACCTTGTAAGTTGAAGGTCGTGGGTTTGAACCCCTCTGGCATTGGGTGCTTACCACTGAAGAGTCATAAACTAGGGCGAAACAGCTGTCCAGTACTCCCTACAGGTTTCCCAATAGATCTCTAAACGATGCCAGCTTATACAATTGGTGGATGGTGGCTAGCAGTGGAATCCAGGATGCGCATTTCGTACTATTTGGGACTCGTCAGCTGGATGTACCTGCATTGCTCAGTAAGTGATGATGTTCCCACCGAGGCTCGAACCCAGTACCCATAGTTTCAAACGTCAAAGCCTTACCCACTAGACCACTTGGGCCACGAGAGCCAACTCTTGTGCAACGGGTCATATTAACTATTGAATTGAATTTTTGATTTTCCCGTCGATTGATTGGACCGAAGTGCTCGGTCTCAGGTTGACATGTCGAGTCCCAAATAGGACGAAATGCGCATACTGGATTCCACTGCTAGCCACCATCCACCAATTGTACACCAATTAAATACCCAGACATCGTCGAAGCATCTGCACAAGAAGCCGACATGTCAACCTGAGACCGAGCACTTCGGTCCAATCAATCGACGGGATGTCAGCTTATGATTATTATTATATCCTTTAATTCCTAGAGGAACATAGGGTTCCAGATGCGCACCTCCATTGCCTTCTGTTTTCTGCCAACTTTTTCACCCCGCTCCAAGTCTGCCCACATCCTTTCATCTCCTCACATGACCTACTCCAAGTCACCCTTGGACGATCAACTCGGAATTTTCCTTTCGGGTTCCAGTCGAGCGATGGTTTTTCTAGTGATGTCACTTGATGGTTTTCTCAGACTATGGCCAATCCATCTCCATTGCTTCCTGCATATATGTTGCATAATCCGTTCCTGGTTGGTTCACTCCCAGAGATCCCTGTTGCTGATCTTTTCTGGCCTGCCATCTGATCTTGAGTATTGAGCGAAGACAGCTGTTGATGAAGGTCTGGAGTTTCTTTGAGGTGCTCTTTATGACTCGTCAAGCCTCTGATCCGTAGAGAAGCACTGACTTTACATTGGAGTTGGAAATCCGGATGTTATTCTTGATTCTGAGTGCTGTTAACCTCCACACAGACTTAAGAGTAAGGAAAGCTTGTCTTGCTTTTCCGATTCTGGCTTTGATATCTTCGTAGGTCCGCCTGTAGTGGAAACGACGACGCTTCCAAGATAGGTAGGTGATAAAGGAGGTTGTTTCTTTCAGGTTCTTCCCATTTATGCTGGCTGATTGTTGTCTGTTATTGTTGTTGCTGTTGGCCAGGAATCTTCATCACCTCTGTTTTTTCTATGTTCATCTGAAGTAAGTCCTATCTTTGACGTTTCTTCTGTCAACTCGTTGCTTTTCACTTGCATATCTTCCAGTTTGTGGGAAATCTGACATATATCATCGGCGAAGTCCAGATCCTCCAAGTTTTTTGTGTGGGTCCATTTTATGCCTGTTTCCTCATTGACCGTTGTCTGTCGCATTATCCAATCTACTGCGATCAGGAAGATCATTGGTGATAGTACGCAGCCTTGTCTCACTCCCGTCCTCACTTCGAAGGCTTCTGTAAGTTTCCCGTCAGCTTATGATGAAATCCTGTAACCAATCAATCAAATCCTTACAAACCAACACTTGAATACTGATGAGATGCTCACTAGCGACTTGCCCTATTCAGGTAGGTAGTTACCTGGAGTTCTAGTGGGAAGCCGTAACTAGTAATGTACAGCAGGTCGAAGGTGAGGACAGTTACTTATCGAAGAAGACATTGCGAAGTGGTTGAACCATGTCACGACTCGGCAGAAGTTAGAATTCATGGGCCAGCCATTGGGTCGGGACGAAACAGCTGTCCAGTGATCGCTTTCCAATGATTCATTCACTGATATCAGCTCATGATGATGAAATCCTGTAGTCAATCAGATCAAATCCTTAAAAAAAAGGAAGAAAAATCAAAAAAAAATCTCATCTTTATGCAGAATAGCTTACTTTCCATATGTACCAAGTATTGGAATCCATGAATAACCGGTACTAGATTCAACCGGTTTTTTATAACTACTGGTTTTCTCTTTTTGACCGGTTAAATTTGTTGCCGCTGTTTCACAGCTTACATGATAAAAACGAAATAGTAGATGATGTTCTGGAGTCAAATTCAACGGTAGACAAATCTTAGCCTAGAGAGAAAGAAAACAAAATGAATATACAAATTTATACAAATATTTAATTGAATTTGAGATTTTCCCGTTGATTGATTGGACCAAAGTGCTCGGTCTCAGGTTGACATGTCTGCCTGCTTCTTGTGCAGATGCTTCGACGATGTCTAGGCATTTAATCCAAATTCAATCTGTGGAATCCACTAAGATGCGCATTTCGTACTATTTGGGACTCGTCGGCTGGATGTACCTGCATTTCCCAGTCAGTGATGATGTTCTCACCGAGGCTCGAACCCAGTGCCCATAGTTTCAAACGTCAAAGCGTTATCCACTAGACCACTTGGGCCACGAGAGCCAACTCTTGTGCAACGGGTCATATTCATTTAATTGAGCCTCGGTGGGAACATTATCACCCACTGGAAAATGCAGGTACGTCCAGATGACGAGTCCCAAATAGAACGAAATGCACATCCTGGGTTCCACTGCTAGTCACCATTCACAGATTATACATATATTGGATATTGAATATTGCAATGTTTATTTTTATAAATCTTATATGACCTTTTCTTAGGTTAGTCAATATCCAATGGTTTAGAAAAGTAAATTGTCCATAAGTTTAGGATGAAGCGACTAGTCACTAGTCTGAGTAACAAACACACACCCACACAGTGTCATATAAATGACATTTACAAAAATAATAAATTGTGTTAGAGGTCAACTTCATACAAAATGAAATGATGTGAATATGCAAATAGTCAACTCGATTGATGTCTTTGTCTAATAAACTATGTGTTTATATGGTGGTGGGTACGAAACGTGGACTGCAATAAACATCCACGTATTTCAATGCCACTTAGAAATTATTGGCACATTTATCACATTCATGAATTAAACCAATCATTATATCGTTTAATAATTTAAAATCTCAGTACCACTTAACACTTAACAGACAATTACACTTATTTTCAAGAATTGATTTGTTTTTCGAAGTTAGACAACGAATGGATATCAGTTAGAGAAACATTGAAAACCAGCCACAGGGAGTGCTGGACAGCTGTTTCATCCTACTTTGGGAATCATCGGCAGTATGGAACCCACCACAGGGGGTTCGAACACAGGACCTTCCAAATACAAAGCAAGCTAACTCGTATAGCATTCAGTGGCCAACCCATGAATTCTAACTTTTACCAATTCATGATTTCAGCGCGACTGGCACCAACCAATGTCAGTGGCGGGAACTCCATCCTCACTCCTGACTGGATGGACCCCACTGGTCACGGCTTCTCACCAGAACTACAGGAAACTCCAATTGCCTACACAACAATTGTTGAAAATTAATCTGATGCTCGCTAGTGATTGGCTGACTGAAGGACGAAGTTGCCGGTAGTTCCAGTGAGAAGCCGTGACTAACCAGTATGATCCCACAAACAGGACGGTCGGGGAGAGAGGACAAAGACACACCAGCAATCATATTAACTAGTGCGACAGTTGCGCTAAAATCAAGAATTCATAGAAATTGGAATTTATGGACCACTAGGTAACCCGGAAGGCCCTGGGGTTCGAACGTCTGTGGTAGGTGTGTACTGCTAGTGTGTGTGTAACAAGCACTAGGACGAAACGTCTGCCTATCCAATACTGCTTTTCAATGGTTCCCTCTCTAACTTGAAACAAATCGAGCCCCTACAAATAAACTCTTGAAATCTGTCTGTCTCTCTGTTTTCCACATAAAACTTTGCACAGATGTGTACCACTTCAAGTCGCCACACTCCAACCACATAGAACACAAAGCAACAGAAGAAAGAAGAAGAAATGCATAATATAGACAGTAAACACAAGTGTGAGACAAAGGAATAATAATAACGAAGAACAAAACAGCTTCATTGGAAATCATAAGTCACAAGGAGTGGATGCATCTGCGATAGTCATTAAGAACGATTTTGAGCCATATCACCGACTGTCTCCATACTCTATTGGTGTTTACCGTCCCGAGGATCCCAACCAGTCAGCCAGTCTACACCTTCCTACATGGCTAGTTGGCTTAAACTAACTGTTGTGGATTTCATTGACTGGCGCCATGTTTTGGTTTGACGCCGCTAGCTCTTTTCCAGTCTGACCGTATATCAGCTAACATTCCCCGTCGAGGAAGGTGATGACTAGGCATACGTAACATACGTCCTAACCGTCTCAATCGGTGTAACTTCACAGTCACGCCGATTGATTTACCCTCCTTACCCAGCACTCGACCAATACCTTATCTCGATATTGCTCACCTTATAATACCACTTCACACGGGAGATAGAAGGCAAGCACCTATGATCAAAGACAACTAGCCAGCCTTTCTATGTCTTCCACTTTCAATGGCTATATCTCACCGACAGCCACAAATTAGGACGGAGTTGACTGGTGAGCGGTACACATGCCTTTTGGTCGATAGCCCGATATCAAGTCCACTAAGCCAGAGACGGCGTATGCGAAACTAGCCCTCTGTATCCGTGCTGAGATTTCATCAGAGATCAACCGTTGGCACTGGCTGATGGTACTTCCAAAATAAGTGAAGCGGTCAACGTGCTCTACCACTTCACTCCCTATTTCTAAACTAGGAATCAGTGTAGTCCAGTCCAGTCGTGTAGCATCATCTAACATTTTTCGGGAGCGAATCACATGCTAAACATTCGTAGATTGCAACTCAAGGTGTTCACAAGACTCTGCGCGTATTTTGTCAGCGTCCTTGACTGGAAGGACTATATTGTCTGCATATTTTAAGTCAACGAGACTGTTATACATTGGTAGCAAGTCGTTTCTTGAGTCACTGAAGTAAGTTAAGGTTAAATCCATTAGTACATCAATGATGAAATTAAATAGAAATGAGGATAATGGCATCCCTGACGGACATCACTAGTCACCACCACTTCAAATGAGAACTCACCGTAAGCCCTCATCTGGCTGCATGAGTTCGAGTAGAGTGAGTTCCTTGACCAATGCAATGTATTTTCTCGGCATTCCCTCTACAGCCAAGCATCTCCAGAGAACCTCTCGGTCGACAGAATCGAATGACGCCTTTAGGTCAAGAAATATAATGATTGTTGGACGCCCTATGTTCTAGAATCTTTCGAAGGGTGAAGATATGATTAATACAACCTCTTCCTGGTCTAAAGCCTGCCCGGCTCTCCCGTGTTTGTGCCTCCTGGGACTCTTTACCTAGCACTAAACCGAAGCCTAACCTCAATATTGATCACCCTATTACACCTACCACCTAACACAGAAGGGAGATAGAACGCGAACACACATGATCAGAGACAACTAGCCAGTCGGGCTTTTCATATCTTCCACTTTCAATGGTCATTTCTCATTGACAGCCATTAAGGAGGACACAGTGGACTGCTGAGCCATACACATGCCCTTCGGTCGACAGTCAGCCGGATGTTACATCTCCTTAATCATGAGTTCATACATCTGTAGAATACCAGCAGTTACTCAGCAGTAGTCTTTACACTAATAATATAAAAATATATCTTAGATTGGAATTGGTAAAGAAATAAAGATATGTAACAATAATAGGCATAAAAAACGAAAACAGTTAAAAAAGTTACAAATTCTTTCTGAATAAACCAGTTTGAGCATACGACATTAATATACCGCAAAAAACATCTGCCTACCTGGTCACCAAAGTTTGGATTTGTATCATGATAGATGACAGATGTATTAAACCATGAATCAAATGTTGGCTGACGAACACTTGGACGAGTATAGAATACCTACAACACAGTACCAGAAAGAAAAAATGACTAATGAAGGAACAATGAAGGGAGTTTAACATCGCTACTGTATAATCTATTTTCACTTGTTACGAATATAACCTGGAATCCAGAAAACGCGTTTTTCATACACTGCGGAGTTTGAATCATTGAACAGCACGATAGACTTCCAAACTGAATCATCTAGCAGTAAACGCATACTGCGGCGACTGCTACTGATAACATTTATCAGTAGTATATAAAAAGACGTTAATCAACATCATCATTATTTCATTTCAGCGTCGGTGGCATAGCGGTAAAATGCTCACCAACCACGACGCCTCATGTGGTTCGGAGTTCGGTCTCCAAACACACATCCACATTGCACAAACCTCGCGAAGTCAGTAATACGACTGGTAAAGAAGGAAAGTTGGGCATAAGGTTAACAACTCCATCTCGGAAAATCAAACATACAACTGCCAGCGAAACTTCAAGCCTCTAGCTTGAAGCCTCCTATGTCCCACTGGGAACATAAAGAAATAAAAAAACAAAAACGTTTGATTTCAGAGAAGGCAAATGATACAGCGTTATGGAGATACATGGGAGACGTGAAAGCAACTGCAGTAGCACCACAACACGAAGATCTGTGCAAATGATGCGTCGAAGATAAGGTATGCATAATTTGGTTATACAGAGATACCAATTTGCAAATAAACATTCTTTTGCCAAACATCTTTGTCTTCCACCGTTTCAATGTGTATCAAAAGTGATTACCAGGCATAAAAAGTTCACAGTTGCAAAGCAAGATAAAACGAATTTTTTTTTCATAGTAAACTCACGCCTTACTAGGAATTCCAACACATAAAGTGAGAAGCCGTGACCAGTAGGATACAGCAGGTCGAAGATGAGGTAGTAACTTATCGAAGAAGACATTGCGAAATGGTCGCGCTATGTAGTGAATTATTAGCAGAAGTTAGGATTCAAGAATCATTGGATCGGGCCCCAGTGGCTCAATGGTCTACGAACTCACCTTGTAACCAGAAGGTCCTAGGTTCAAATCCTGGCGGTGGATGCGTATTGACGAAGAGTCCCAAACTAGGCTGATGAAATAGCTGTCCAGTACTTCCAAGTTTTCCTGTCTGTCTGGATTCAACATAGAACTTGGCACCGAAGTGCACCAGTTCCAGTTGCCACGTTCCGAATACCACACAGAGGTAGACAAGAAGATGAGTGAAGAGAATCAATACAGTCTGACAAGTATAAGAGTGAAACAGAATGGGTAATGGTAGAAAGGAATATGAAATATTACAGAGGCTGAATACATGTGCGCTGGCCATTGACAACGATGAGTTTGAGCCATGTCACCTATTGTCTCCAACCATTGATTGATTCTGATATGTATCCACATATATATATTTATGTGTGTGTGTGCATGTTGGTCTCTCTTTCTGTTTGCTCGGTTAGTCTGTGACCACTTCACTTGTATGGACTTGTCTCCTTTAATAATGTGTATTCTCCTTATATTATATTATATATAATATGAGTGTTTGTTGACAGTCCGTTGCTTGGTGACATATATCCATATATGTTTGTTGGCATGTCTGCTATATTCGCTATGTATAATTGGATCGACACTCCATTATAATTAGCCATTCATGTTAAGACTGTCTAATGATTTTTCCCACGCTTGTCTGAATTATTTATATATATTCGCATTCAAAATTTGTGTGAACTACTTTACTTTACAACTACTTGACTTGCTTACCACTTTGGTGTGAGACCATTTATTTTCGTCTCCTTGTCTTTGGACAATAGAAGTATCATCGCAAACCTAGTGGTCTTCTGATTTCCGCCTTCTCGCGTCAGGACTATTAGTTTCTCAACCAGTCCATAACAATAAATCAGCGACGAGTACATAACAATTTGGCGACGGGGGAAAACTAGTACATAACAATTTGGCGACGGGGAAACTAGTACATAACAGATTCATAGAGTCCCGAGAGCCCCAACCCGGAAGTCTGCATCTCCCTCCCTACCTGACTCAGTTTAACTGTCAAGGATTTCATGGATTGATGCCATGTTTTTGTTTGGCCACCACTGGCTCTTTTCCAACCTGAACCTATATCAGCTAGTAATGCCCGTCGGGGGAGGCGGTGGTTAGGCATGCGCACCACGTGACCTAGCCATCTTAGTCTATGTAACTTTATAGCCTCGTCGATTGATTTTCCCTCTTTGCCCAACACTCTACGCCTAACGTCAACATTACTTACCTTGTGAAACCACCTAACGTGAGACAGAGATCGCAGACATCTATGATCGAAAGCAGTCAACCTTTTCATGTCTTCAACGCGTATTGGCCATGTTTCAGAGCCATAGAGAAGGACGGAGCGAACTGATGAGCAGTACACACGTCCCTTGGTTGATAACCGGATGTCACGCCTACGCCAGAGATGGTGTAAGTCAGCGAAAGCAGCTCGAGCTTTTCGGATCCGTGCTGAGATTTCATCGCCAATCAGTCCGTTGGTGCTAATACAACTTCCCAAATAGGTGAAGTGGTCAACATGTTCTATCACTTCACTCCCTATCACTAAGTTAGGGGTTGACGTGGTCCAGTCCTGTAGCAGCATCTTACATTTTGCAGGGGCGAATCGCATGCCAAACATACGAAGATTGCTGCTCAAGGTGTTCAGAAGACTCTGCATTTTGTCAGCATCCTCCCCTAACAGGACTATGTCATCTGCATATTCTAAGTCCATAAGATTATTCCCTGGTAACAAGTCGATTCCTAAGTCATTACGTTCAGTTAAGGATACTTCCATTAGCATATCTATGATGAAGTTAAACAGAAATGGGGAAAGTGGACATCCCTGTCGGACACCACTGGTTGTTACCAATTCAGATGACAATTCCCCATAAGCCCTTACACGACTACGTGAGTTTGAATAGAGTGCCTTGATTAGTGCAATGTACTTTCTTGGCACTCCCTTCACAGTCAGACATTGCCATAGTACCTTTCGATCCACGGAGTCGAAGGCCGCCTTCAAGTCAAGAAATATGACAATTGTTGGACGCCGAAAAGTGTGTCTATGTTCTAGAATCTGTCGAAGAGTGAAGATATGATCTATGCACCCTCTACCTGGTCTAAAGCCTGCTTGATTTTCCCTTGTCTGTTCCTCCCGAGTTCTGCTTAGTCTATGCATGATTACTGAGCCTAGGATTTTAGAGACTATGTTCGTTAGGCTGATCCCCCTATGATTATCACACGAGGACTTGTTTCCCTTCTTGAATATCGGTATAATAAGTGACTTACCCCAGTCTGATGGAACTGTCTCTGATTCCCAGACTTTGCCTAGTACCTCAGTTAATCTACAAACTAGTATGTCACCCCCATATTTAAACACCTCCGGAATAATTCCGTCGGGTCCTGCCGCTTTGCCTCGTTTCAAATTACTGATAGCTTTTGTAACCTCACTACAGACGGCGGACCAGTGTCTATATCCCATTCGGGTGTGTGGATGGCGGGGAGGTTCAGTGTGGCTGTAGGCAAGTTAAATTGTTCCTCAAAGTGTTCTTTCCAGCGTTCAAGGCGTCTATCCTGAGAGCTAATTAAGGAGCCATTTTTCTCAGAAATAGTCTCACTTATGAATTGCCTTCTCCCACCCGTTTCTGATGAGTCTAAAGAGTTGCCTAGTGTTGCCTATCGCCGATGCTTTTTCCATCTCTTTCGCCTTTGTCACCCACCACTGTTCACGGTCCTTGCGGAGACTTTTAGTAAGTTTCCTTTTGTGCAGCTTTCGCTCCTCATTGAATTCGGAGCTCGCCGGAATAAGTCTTCTAGCATCTATCAGTTCGGATGAGGCAGTCGAAATCCAGTGGTTTTTACTCACCTTTGGATTTGCCTTATTCACAGCTTTTACAGCTGTATCTATAGCTGACTGAATATTCTTCCAGGCTTCTCCAGGGTGAGCACAGCTGTCGAATTCAGATATGCGTTTAGCTAGTTCTTCCTCAAATAGGGATTTAGTTTCCTGATCGAGCTGGGGACGTGATGGTTTTACCGCCAGCTGTTTCCTACGTCCGTTCAGTCGTAAGCACACACGAGCCCGGACCAGTGCGTGATCGGTATCTACACACGTGTTCCAGAAGGAGCGACAATCTCCTACCGACCCACGCCAACGATAGCTTATTGCTATGTGGTCTATTTGTGTCCAGCGTTGGTTTGATGATGGGGGTCGCCAGGTTAAACAGTGTCTCTCCTTGTGTTTAAAGTTAGTGCTTACAAGAAACAAATGATTATCTGAACAGAACTGTAGGAGACGGTCACCGTTGTCGGTTCGCTGGCACGGAACTCCATAGGTGCCACCGACATCCTTCTCAGATTGACACAATTTCCCTACTTGAGCGTTAAAGTCACCAGCTAGAACGACTATATCTGAGCGTTTAGCCTTTCTCACCAAACTAGACAGCTTTTGGTAGAACTCATCCTTCGTTTCATCCGAACTGCAGTCAGTGGGGGCGTAGGCGGAGATTACGAAAAGGCATCGGCGAGTAGTGCAGTCCTTTCTCCTTCTTACTGATCCGTTCAGACGGACAGCACACATTCGGCTATCTACCGGGATCCAGTCAAGCAATGTCTTTTCTGCCCTAGTACTCAAGCTATCCCTACGCCAGCTAATCCTCGTGAACTAGCTGTGGCATCTCCTGACACCCTCAAGGTGAATTTTGAAGATTCATCCTGTTGGCCAGGTGGGGTTAGGTGAATAACCACACTTGGGTCTTGTATGCGTGTTTCTGAAACACAACATACATCAATGGCTCGGATGCCAGGGTCTTAGCTAGTGATGCTTGTTGTCCTATTTGGCAAAGTGTCCTAACATTAAATGCTCCTATATGAAATTGGTGGCGTGGCTTTAGGAGACTATCGGTGGTTTTTTGGCTTTCGTCGTTTTTAGTGGACACAGAGTGAAGAGGGAGTGAGGAGCCATCAAGTAGAGGAGTTGCATCAGTGGGAGGAAGGCAAG